TTAGAGCATAAGCTTTCGTGGACTACAGCCCACTTCCGAAGAAGTCCACGAAAGCTTATGCTCTAATAAATTTGTTAGTCTCTAAGGTGCCACAAGTACTCCTGTTCTTTTTTTTAGTTCAGTGGAAGGCTCCCTAGCCCCTACTGGAGCTGACAATAATATTCTCTTTCACTTGGTTCCTTCTCAGCATTTCTCCGAGCATCTGGATCATTTCTCTGAGAACATGGAGGATTTCTCCAATGAACTCTTCAACAGTTTCTTTGATGATCCAATGTTGGCTGAAAAGAACCCTTTACTGGACATGGACTTGGACCCTCCTACTCCGGGCATCCAGGCAGAGCACAGCTACTCGCTCAGTGGAGATTCTGCTCCCCAGAGCCCCCTCATGCCTATCAAGACTGAAGATAATGCCAATGGTGAGCACAAGAAACCCATATGCAGATTGCCGTGTTTCCAAAAGATGTACTGCATGTCCTAGAAGAGCTGATGTCTTTGAGCAGAGGTGGGGCCTGCTTGACCCAAGTCAGGCTCCTCAGCACTGGGGCACTGCCTAACTGCTTTGACTTAGTACAGTTAGTCAACGGATAAATTTGTCCGTTGTTTTATGAATGTGGTCCACATTTTTTCTTACATTTCCTATACTCACAATATAATTATTCATTTCTATTGCTGTGTGTTATTCATGCTGATGATTATGGTTTGTGTCTCTGCGCGCTGTGTGCTCCTGGCAAACTATAGGCAGCAGTTCCATAGGACCCTGGTAAGTTGGGAGTGGATGCACTGGACTCAAGTCCCTTCCTGGAGCTTACCAGTGAGGTTTGGCCTGGATATAGGGAGCACGAGCATACAGGGAGCCTGCAGCCAGTTGGCTCATGTGGAAAACTAAGTGGCTTCCTTGTGAGTGGCTCTCACTTAGAGGAAGACAGAGAGGAACAGTTATTTCAAACCCTATTTTTAAAACAATTCATTTCAGGATAATTCATGATGGCTGGATATTTTTAGAGCAATCCCAACAGAGAGTCCTGTAATTTGCGGGACTGTGTGGGTGTCCTGGCAGCTGATGGACACCAGGCTGCCTGAAAAAGCTGTGTCACTGATTCAGTATATACAGGAGAAGAAAGCCCTTCCTTTTAGCAAGAGCAAGGTCTGGGATAGAGGTTTCCCCATCATAGCCAGGAACTATTCCTGCTCTGTGATAACAAACACCAAGAAAGGAGAGAAACTGCCATCTGCTGCCTCTTCTTTGCAAATTACACAGTCAGCACCTTTAGGGTCAGTACCCATAACTCAGACAGTACATCAGAGGGTCACCAAGCAAGGGCCTTAACATCAGGCCCGACAGCTTTTCCTTAACCTTCAAACATTCAGAAGGGTTTCCTGTCCCTGACTTTAACACTAACACATCCCTGCGGGGGGGCTCAGCAGAAGCAAGTATTCTTGGGCAATTAGCAAAAACCACACAGGTAAGGACACACACCTTAACCCACGTGTGTTGACACACGCACACATTGAAAATAAACAAATGAGAATAAAGATTATAATGATAGGGTGAGAAGCAAACAGGATGGAGCAGTGAAACACAAAACAAAGATTTGCAGTTGTACTAAGCGAACTCAGGAGCTTGTATCTGTTACACACGTTACCTCTTCCCCTGCATCCTCTTTCCATATATTGTCATGTCTCTGCTTAGACTGCAAGGTCTTTGGGGCTCTCTTATGTCTGTAGAAACCCTAGCCATATTTGGGACCCTGAGGGTGACAATCGCTCTTGTGCAGACTATGCACCAGTTAAACCCCACTTAAATCAATAGGACTGAAGTGCTGTGCCAGCCTTACATTACTAGTCAGAGGGTGCAATTCACCTCTGTGCAGCGAATGAGTACAAAATATCATTGTGGCAGGCATACACACAGTCACATGCAGGGGATAAAAAACTGCATGTCCAGGGTTATATCTGGCTCATATTTGAATGTGATACACATTTTAGTCCATCTGTGAATTGGGGCCAATAGCCCTATGCTGAAATTGTGTGGATTAACTCTGCATTTTAATGTCTATTTATATTTGGACCCAAATCCAGATTTATCTCTGCATTGTACCTATTAGTGCTGCCCTTAAAATGCAATGCCAGTAATGGTTTTCCTTTAACATCTGTGAGGGTTAAGTATGCCCTTTCAGCCTGCAGCATTCTCAAGGGAACCTAGGCTGCCTCTAGTTTTGGAGCCGGCTGTGGCCTTTTACACATTGGCTTCTCCATACTTCCCTGCTGTCCTCAAAAACTTCAGAATCCTGCCCATCCCAGGGTAGGCACCCACTAATTCAGTTAGGTTGTGAGGTTCAGGTTGCTCATCAGTCTCACGAGCTTGCTTTTCAGTGGAATCCACTTGCCTAATGGGTTATGGGTACAAATATGGAACTTCTGGTTCCAGGTACCAGATTGCAGTTCTGCAGACCAGGGAGTGCAGTCATGATTTCATGCCCAAGAGCAGGCTACAGTTCTCTAGAGCAGAAGGTGTAGGTCTGATTACATGCAAGTGGGTGAGCTGTTGATCTGTGAAGTCCAATTCCATGCCAACAATCAGGCTGTGGTTCTGTAGCACAGAGAGGAAAGAGAAATGAAGACACTACATTTAAATATATTCCCCTTCTCCCCTCATTTCTCTTCACTCCCTTCCCTGTTTCCAGAGGAGCAATACATTTCTCCTATCTGTGTGTGATGGGTCAGTATTTTTTACTGCACACACATTTAGGGTGACCAGATGTCCCGATTTTATAGGGACAGTCCTGATTTGTGGGTCTTATATAGGCTCCTATTACTCCCCACCCCCTATCCTGATTTTTCACACTTGCTGTTTGGTCACCCTACACACATTCCAAATATCTGACCGTAAACAATGTATCTAGAGAAGCATGTTGAGGCAGAATCTCCAGGCACCACTCACACAGCAGGATCCAGACGCATCTTCAGTGTTTCTAGATTATCTGTACCTTTGGGACCACCGAAGCTGTGGAATGTAGATGCATCCATGGAAAATGCCTTCTCATCTGGTCCTGAACGACACCCTGTTGGCTGGTTCATCTCTGTAACCCAATAGCTCTTGCAGGGTGGGACAGACAGAGGGTTTTGGCATGGGGACAGGAGAAGGAAGGACAGCATGTGCTTATTTGGGTGTTCACTGCTTGGCCTATTTGGAGTGACAGAGCTGGGGGCTGCCCTCTCACCTAGTTTATTCTAGCCAGGAAGAGCCCCTTGCTTGCCCTCTTCTGCTCTGATTAGTAACAAGTCCAGCAGCCACAGCACTCGCGGGCAGAGGGAGCGTCATTCCTCTTACAGAAAGGGTCTTGTAAAGCTTTCCACTCCAGCTTTTACCATTGAAGCAGAACAGCTGGATGGACGGGAAAATTCATCCAAGTTTGCTGGATGCAGTTACCTGTGGCCTTGTAACCCATTCTCTCCCCCGCTGTCCAAAATACAGAGCCCATCCACATTAGAGCTACAACTGTGAGTTCTGTAACTGGTTTTGGCTTGGCCTCCTTAACTTGTAACAGTTCAGCTTGTGTCCACACAGCAGCTTTGCTGCCATCACTATTGTGTTATGCATTCACACCTACTAGGGTGCCTAATCATGTTTGCATTGGTGCATTCTGGGAAAATCTAGGTAGCTATCCCATAGCACTTCAGCAGGGAATAGGCATGGGGGATATACATACAGAGCAGCACCAGCAGGGCATGGATGAGGAAATGTACTCAGGGATATACTACTGCACAAAGAAGGAAGGAGGACAAGCTCAACCAGTTACACAGGCACAGTTAGGGAGTCCTGTCCACACAGCAAAATAAGTGTGCCAGACTAGTTACAGGAAGGCAACCAGCATAGGCCACTGCCAAGGGTGACACATGGTTTACACAGCCAGAGTTTTAACTACATTCTATGTGGGAACAAACCATGGGCTAAATTCTGTGCTGTGCCTCTCAGAAAGCGTAGCCCAGGAGCTGTTTGGGCAAAGGTGGCTTTAAACCACCTTTGTGCCACCTGGATTCCTGAGTGCACTCAGGGCTGATGGGGCCCCAACATAAGTGGCTGTTCTGACTTATGGCAGCCTTCTTATGGCTGCCTACAGGCTACTCTACAGCGCAGGATGGCCACTCATTCCCTGCCCCTGGCATGTCCCCTACACAGGGAGCTGCACGGAGAAGCAGTTTATGGCTGCATACACAGGCTCTATGCAGTTCCTACACCAGAGGAACTCTCTTCTGGGCTTTTGTGACCCCTTTACAGTCCCTAGCTGCTGCCAGAGCAATGTCTAGGGACGAGGGTAGTGGCAGAGAATCTGTCCTGGTTAGAGCTAAGCAGGACATGGTTAGAACTAACCAGCACACTAACTGGTGATATGCTGTGTTAAAGGCCATAGTGTGGCAGGGCCAATGAGTTTCCAGTGCTGAGATAAATGAGGAAGGGAAGTGCATTAGGGAGGAAGATGTATGACCTGAACCAGGTGCAGAATAGTTTCTTGGCAGGCTGAGGTGTCTAAGGAGCAGGAAGGATGGGACCAAAACTCCAGAAAAGAGGCCAAGTGACTTCACCTTCTCTGAATTAACCATTATCTCTTTTTGTCTGAGATCCAACTCCTGTGATCTCCTGTCCCCCTAAATATTCACACCCCAAGCACACACACAGAGGGGGGCACTCAGGCCCATTAAGTGTTCCTCAGAGGGCTTTCCCTCTCCCTCCACACTAATGCTTCTCATGGTGGAGACTGCAGCCTGCTTCTGCCTGGGGGTGTGGAGCAGCATACATGCATTCCTCCACACCTGGAGAATGAATGTCAGCACCAGTAATGTCCATGAGGACAGGGATTAACTGACCCCTTAAATATTGAGGGTATACACACACTTGTGCAGCAGCAGTGCCTATCACAGATCTTAATGCAGAAGAGAGACACCTATATCCCCTACACACCTTGGAATGGGACCCTTTGCAGATAGAATAAAGGCTTCTGATGTCTCTTGCCTTGTCCTGTTATTGCTGGTGTCCCAAGAAGCTCGGAGTTTGATTCTCATGCTGTGCTTGTTTCAGACCTGGAGAGTGGAGTGTGGTCCCTTGGGCACAAGCTATGCTCCATTATGGTGAAGCAGGAACAGAACCTGGCTCCAGAACTTCCTGAATCCCAGCTTGCAGCCAGCTTAGTGCCAGCGCTGAACCTCAACCCACTACAGAGACTGCCAGCACCTGAGGAGGTGAGCCCATTTTACTCAGAATATGTGTCTGGTAACTGGAACTTCCCAACAACAAACCCTGACACTGGCTTGGCTCTGTAGGCCCCTTGACTGCAGTTATAGGCTCCTCCTGGACAGGAGGCTGAAGGTGAAACAAAGCTGATGCCCAACTATTTCCTTATTGCTAGTAATTTCTCACTTGAAATGACAGTTAGAACAGATTGAGACTCAGTGTTAAACTCACCCCCAGTTTTAATTAAAAGAGCAAAAGGACCAAGGGGCACTTACTCCTCCTTTGTAGACACTGAAAGATTTACCCCTCTACAACACAGTAGACTTGAAATTATTAACAGTGTGGGTCAGATTCAAACCAATGTCCTTGAGGCACTTGGTGTGCAATTTACCAGCTCCAGAGCCATCTAGTTGTTCACTAGCATTTCTACTTGATGGAAGGCCCTTTCCTTCCAATCTGCTGATATTTCTTTAGCCCTTGGGTTGTTTTTATCAAGCCGCGAACCCATTCTACTGGCGAGTGTTCAAAGGTGGTTCCCCAATGAGATAATTTTAGGGAAGGCAGAATTAACAAATGAGCTGAATATGAGCCTCATACTCCTGAGTCCCTCTCCCAGCCCTGCCGCTGACTTGTCATGTGGCCTTGGGTACATCATAAAATCTCTCACTTTCCCAAGCTGAACAATGAGGATAATAACCCTTCTCTGAGGTTCTTATTTGTGAGGGCAGGTGGATGCCACGCACCAAGCGTTAATGATTGTTATGAATATTTCCAAGAACTGAGGAACCAAAGCTCTCATCCACTCCCAAGTTCTTAAGATGTCTATTTCTCTGAAGAACACCCTGGGATACTTGCTGCCCTTGGTGACATGGGGGTGACTGAGGGCTCTGTTTGGCCCTGGTTCTGGTGGGGGTTCTTGGGAGAAGGGAGGTTTGTCCAATCTTGCATGGTGCTGAACTGTCTTGTATCTTGTGTCAGAGTAACAGCCGTGTTAGTCTGTATCCGCAAAAAGAAGAACAGGAGTACTTGTG